CCACCTTAGGTGTACGTGGCTGGCGCCTTAGCCGGTTGAGCTATAGGCGCCGAGCCAGAATAATTTAACTTTTCAAATGTGTCTTGGTTAACTTGGGCCACTTGTGGCTTTCCCACAGCCATGCTTACTGGAGAACTGATAGCTTCACTTGGCCCTACCTATCCTGAGCTACGTGAACTAGCACTTCTCTACAGGGGCTACTGTTTTCTCAACCTTTGCAGAAGTATTCATCCCCTCTAAATGTTTCTACTTCAAGTTGCAGAGAAATGATATAATCTGAATAGCTCTCCTTTATAATACTATCACTTGATGATGGTGACTAAAAATCAAAATCATCTGCATACCTGGGAAAATTAAAGTGTCCCTGCCTATGCCTTGAGAGAATTAGCACAAAGTAGCCCAGTTCTAAATTTAAGAGCAGTAGCTCTCTAAGAGAAAAAGATGCTCTTAAGGTCACTTTCTTAGGAATGAGACTCACTTTCGTGGCTTAAGTGAAGGGTTTAGTTCTATAAACCTGAAGTGTACACTTCTTGGACCCTGTATTATCTACTAACCTTAAGAAGCTGCACAGTTAACTTTGTTTGACTCAAGGCCAATTACTTTAGACACAGAAGCAAGTTTCGGCCCAAGGGCTTCAAGTTTTGCATTATTTGCCTGCTTTTTCTTTTAGTTTTTTTTAATCAGTTCACTCTTCACATGAGCACTCTATCAACACCATACCTTAAAAGTTTTCAGAGTTAAAAGTCCAAAAGAATTAACCTAAAAATCTCTAACTATGACTCTCTACAAAAAATCACCTTAGCTTCCCAGTAAGATGAAACTCTAGAGACAACCCAAGGAACACGGACGTAAGTCCGAACACCAACTTTGATTTTTCAATGATAATGCACTACAATACTTTGATTAGGGTCACAATTTGGATTTAGAGGCAAACATTAACCACTCACCAAGTCATCTATCTCGCTCAACGGTTCTCAACCTATGAGTCGCGACCCCTTTTTAACAATGAATATACATTGCGGCATTAGGAAGGTTGAAAACCACTCATCTAGCTGAACAAAGAACAAGTGCAAGGCCGGTGTATACTTACTATTATTCACCTTCGAGCTACTAAAGTTACACAGCTGCTTATTTTATTTTTAAAGAAAAAATTAGTCATCAATACCTGCCTAACTAGATTATAATGTTATAACCAGATTACTAAATCCAAGTCAGGTTTTTAGGACAGACACTTGTGTATATTAAATTGTCTTAAATAGTATGCTTGCCTTAACTGAGTTGCAAATTATGTAGTAGGCACTGTGCTAGGGTTTGGCTGTGTAAACCAAAGTAAGTTAGACATCAAGCCAAGGCAATGATAACCAGGTTGGCATGCTTTAAAACCAGACACTAAGAAACTGCTGTTTCCATTTCCATTCCTTATGAATTAAGCCAGATCCTCTCATAAGTCTTCAAAGTACAAAATGTGTAAAATAATCATTCAATTCCAATCCTCAAAGGTCTAAACTGTACTTCCAAAGAAATGGTATAAATTCTAGCAAAATGGCAACAAATAAATAAACTTCAAAATGTTAACCCTCAGAAAATTCCCACCCCCTGCCATATCATCGTGTTTCAGGGTCTCCCTGACAAGATTTTCTGAACCTCTAAATCTAACCGAATAGCCAACTCTGGAATCTGTACCTCAAAGACCAAAACTTAAGAGAATAAATTGTTCTTAAGTAACAAACACGATTTGCCAACTTTGATTTTGGGGGGATGAAAGCTTTAAAACCTAAAGACCAATTATTGAAATAACCCGCAAATCCAATTCTACCAAGTATATCTTACATCACACTCAAACTCGTAAGGATGCACTTCTTTCTCTACGAACAGCACATACAGGCATTTCTACCTCTGTATGACTTTCAATTACCGTTGGTAATAAAAAGGTTATGAGTGGCTTACTGTATGTCCCAGGTTCTCAAGACCACTCTATTAAAATTAAAACTTCACCTAATACGGTAAGTCAAGGGGCAATGGTACAGGCCCAGCAATGCCAAGCAGAAGCTAGGACAAGGATCCAGCAGTAGTTCTCCATCCCTACCCCGAGCATCTGAAGGATTTGTCCTACCTAAACACTTTATGTAAACAAGGGGCTTGTGACTCAAGCCTCCAGCCCCAATAGGTGGAGAGAAGTTTCCTCGCTTCGGCTGCACATGGTCTGCAGAAGTTTGGCTGGAGCTGAGAGCCAAGCCTGGGTGGGAGCGGCAGAGTAGTGCTGCAGG